GGCGCTGGTGTCACGTGGAACATCAGGGTGGCACTGAGGGCCACGCTGGCTGTCGTGGGCATCACTTCCCGCAGTAATGGCGGTTAGACACCAGCAGTTGGTCACATACATATCAAATACGGCTTGCTGCCTGAGACTGTTTAAGTTCCGGAGGGCAACATGGCAACGGCAAGCTGACCACCTCTTCATCGAACGCAGAACGGCTGTGTAGACGGGTCTCACTCACCGCTATGGCCTGGAGTCTCTCCTGGTGCAAAACCGCTTCAGACTTCCTGCCCGGGGAGAGGCAGAGAGAGAAAGAGAGAGTCAGAAAGCACTCAGCTGAGGAGTGGGACTGCTTACACCTGGGGGGGGGCTGAAATTACCGACTCAGGGGATGAGGAACAGAAGAGGAGTCTGCAGAATGTGTCTGACAGACCCTAAATATTCACCCAGTAAATAAAACCAGAATAAGCACTGTATACCTAAACAGCTGCACAGACAATCTCTAATAAATTGACTTGATTCAGCTAGGGCTGTCACTATCGATTATATCCAGCAATCTACCGATGAATTTGAGGATTAATCAAGTAATCACTTGTATATAATATAATATATTTATTGCAATTGCTGTGAGGCAGGAACCAACTCTGGCACTAGTCCATTGCAAGGTACTCACTCACTCACACACTCACTCACTCACTCACACACTCACACACTCACACACTCACTCACTCACTCACACACTCACTCACTCACACACTCACTCACACACTCACACACACGGTCAATTTAGGCACTTGCAATTCACTTAAGTTGCATTTCTTTGGACAGTGGGATGAAATCGGAGGATCCGTTGTAAACCTCCGCACACATGGAGTGAACATGCCAACTACCCACAACGCACAAGAGGAAGGTACAACTCCACATACTGAGGGAGGTTTGGCACTGGAAGTATGAGGCACCGGCACTAACTAATGCGTGAAATTTGATTCGGTATCGCCATATACTGTCATTTCCAAAGACACTGCTGTTTTTCACTTTAACACACACACACACCTACATGTGTCCAAATTTCATAAGGCATCTGGACAGATGTTTCACATCTGACTGTTCAGATAAAACAGAAAAGCTGTCCAAATACACGGCTTCATGGTAATACCATATGGAATACATGTAGCGCCCCCAACCTGCCTTTGTCCTGGGCACGTTTCCCAACTTTATGAATTCTTAAAATATTTTGAAGCTCTCAACTGGTATGCCGTACAATACGGCCAAATGTAAATAAATCTCTGTATTTCTCGACTGTTCTTCGGTATGTATCTTACAGCCTGAACAAACTCTGTTAAAAATTAGCGGTCTATCCTTCCTCATTGCAACATACAAACAACTACATTTAAAACAATAAACGCTACATTGAATCATGCTGTTTATGAGCAGGAAGGTTTTTCATAAGCTCATAGGATCTGTCATGCTGATCCAGACCCAGAGCAGCTCTTGTCCATGATCCCCTCTCCCAGTTAGTCCCAGCTCTCCTGAAAATGAAATTTGTAATCAACCCAGCAAGATGTCTTTGACTTGACCGCTGGGACAGTAAGGAGAACACAGGAAGAATGGTAAATTCTTGAGTGTTTAAATAAACTCTGACATGACAGGCGGGATGGTGAACTCACGAGCGTTTGACTAAACTCTGAGATGAACGGCGGGATGGTGAACTCACGAGCATTTGACTAAACTCTGAGATGACAGGCGGGATGGTGAACTCACGAGCGTTTGACTAAACTCTGAGATGACAGGCGGGATGGTGAACTCACGAGCGTTTGACTAAATTCTACAATGACAGACGAGATGGTGAACTCATGAATGTTTGATTAAACTCTGAGATGATAGGAATGGTGGTGAAATGATGAGCGCTTGACTCAACTCTGAGATGACAGGCAGGATGGTGAACTAACAAGCATTTGACTAAAGTAAGACATGACAAGAAGGATGGTGAACTCATGAGCGTTTGACTAAATTCAGACATGACAGGCAGGATGGTGAACTCACAAGCGTTTTTGACTCTCGGGTGTTTGACTAAAGCATTCCTCCTTAATCAAATCCAGCCATGCCGAGTATGCGGACAGCTTAGGGAGTCCAACCCGGACATGCATATGCGTCATCAGCTAACATATAGCTCAGAGTCACAACGAGGCATCGGAAATATCATAGCACTTGTGCCTCATTCCCAAGGTAACAATGGTGCTCCTACGTTTATCTCTGACTTTGACTAGGCACTGAACTAAAGAGGAAGAAGAAAACAAATATTTGACTACTATACAGTTCCAAAAACCACTTAGATTCACAGTGATGTTGATGGAGATGAGAATAGACAAAGAAGGCAAGAAAAAAGACAGGAAAAAAATCAGACTATGTAGACAAAGCCAGGATTCTCAATCATACAACTGGTACATATGTTGAATATTATTAAATACAGACTCAGTACTCATGTGCCGCTCAGAGAGGGGATGACAGAATGGTGTCGTGAAGAAGTGGTTCTGTTTACAGCTGTTTTGTTCTCACCAATAAAAATTGCGGATTTTATCTTGGAAATGGCTTCAGGGCACAGTCACGTGATGACTTTGTGAATTAAACGCCTAACCAGGCCCATACAGGGTCATTTTACACTTTTATCAGATATTTGTATGCTGCACCCTGTCTGGGTTCATCACACACAGTTGCATCACACAGTAAAAAAATCTATTTGTGATCTGTGAAACACGAACATTTACTCTGTATAACCAGGCTAATATATTACTCCTATGGGGGTTATCTTACAGCGTACATTTCAATTAATACATAGCTCTGAGTGTGAAGAAGGAAACGACTGTCAGCAAAGGGATGCCGCAGAAAGCTGGCAGCAGAAGCAACAGGCTTCAGATAAATGGCACGTGTCACGAAAAGGTTCCAGATTATCACAAGACGAGGAGCCCCCAGTACCACTCAGCAGCTGGGAAGCATGGAGTGGGGGCTCCTCTGGGTGTCCGTATGAAAGAGGAGAAGGTTGACCACAAGGGAACAGAGGAATGCCAGGCCTCCGGTGGGGCCGCCTCTCCCCGCCGTCACACAACACATGCTTCCCGTCCCCTCAGATCTTGCCTCTTAACATGTACCACCTGTGAAAATATGATGGGAATCTCAGACATGTGAAGCAAGTAGCTTGGCGATTCTGGCTGACGTACAGAAGCGAGGATCACACCGCACCCAGAAGCCAGGCAGATCCTGCACGGACTGCTATTTTTATTTTTCGTTAGATATAGCCATTAGAAAATGCTGCTTGTCACATACTAGTTATTATAGGTTATTAAATGTATATTCTATATCTTTAGCATATCAATAACCCATGTTTCTAAAGCCAGTCATTCTCCTGGAGTCTAAAGCACACACTATATCACAAGGACACTTTGCAAGGCATTATGGGAAGGACAATTATCCATCCAGGCCTCCACCCAGACTCCCTGTGGTGGTGAGCCAGACGGCAGAACTTAGCACAAGGTAGCTGCACAAAACTATTTTCAGGGTTACTGGGTCACACTAACATGGGCAGTGTTACCTAACCTACCGTTTCTGCCTAAGTGGTTTGAATGTAGCCCCCGTTATTTTCACGTGACGTCCTTTTGGGCTTCCAGCTGCAGGTAGGGTCAACGCATGTCTACAACGCTTGGACTCCTCAAAGATAAATATCACATATCACATGGCACCCGCAGCCTAAATCTGTCACGGTCACATGCACGCTGCTGGGAGCACTAACAACTGCAGGGATTCTGTGTCTTCTGGAATGATGCGATTGACGATTGGGTCATGACATTTCACGGAGTATCGCATGCTCAGCTTGTGCTCCACCAAAGTGTTGGGCGTAGTACAACAGCCCTCTGTGGAATGCGCTGTTGAGGGTTTCCCCTTTGAAGGACCATCTGGGTATGAAAGGAGTAGTAAAGAGGTACGTAAACACAACATGTGCACACCCTATCGGTGTCCTCAGATGCTACCACTACACCAGCTCGTGCCAGAGTCCTGCTATCATGACGAACGTATGAAAACTTGAAACAAAGCAGGCACTATTGTTTCCACGGCGCAGGAAAAAGGTGCATGCAGTGTCTAAAACTAATAAACACTACAGAAAGGTAACATCAGCTAAGGAATGTTTCTAGTAAAGGAGCTAAGTTTTGCTGGACCAAGAACTACCAGTGGAAGATCAATCTGAACTGATCCACTGTTGAAATTCACACCGAGAAAGAGTAGGACAAGAATAGGGTAGCAGGCCCAGCATGCTGGCGGGGACTGGAGGGACAGAACGAGAATATTAAGTGGACACATGAAAGGGGAGCACATGTTGGCAGCAGCGGGCCTGCGAGTCAGATCTCCCAGTAAAAATCACTGAAGTTCGCTCCAGCCTTTCCAAATCCGTCGAGCATAGATAACTCGACTCACTGCTGCTGTCAAATGTCAGCCATTACAAGAATCCCTCAAAGTTCTGCTTAGTTCAGGAATTTCTACTTTACGCAGCGCACCCTGGGGTGGTCATCATGAATACTCAGACATTCCAAAGGCCTCGCTCTACACTTCTCCTATAACATCATTACACATATAACTCAAGAAAACCAACATTATCACTGGACTTACTCCAAGCGCTACATAAGCCCAAGCCCATTCTTGACGTGTGATCATTTACATTGAGCAGTACAAAAGAAAATCAGTCAAAAAAAGAGAGTGACATTGCACAGCTGTTGCACTGGTACTGGAATGGACTCTATTGCATGGGTGGTGCAGGACGCTTTACGCAAAGCGCTACATCTGATATACAGAGACATTCTAAAGAATGTGATTGTATTAAACAGTCTTTAAATGGGCTACTCCTTATGATGGTGATGATGGTATTTCCTGGTTGATGTCTGAGTTAATCAGGAGTTCCTATTTTATCTTACTAGCTTGTAGAAATAAGAACACCTCAAAAATGGCGTCGTTAACTATTTCTTTGAGATAAATTAAAACAACAGTTTTGGTTCCTGTAGAAATTACATCGTGTTTTTCTTGCTCCGGTAAGTTCTTTAAGGCATTATTCTTGACATTACCCTTAGCTGAATCTCTTAACGCAGAAAGACCATATTACGGCTATCGTTACAGGTTGTAAACATTACCGAAAGGAAGCTCCATACTCCTTTTATCACTTTCTCGCCAGAGCAGGATAACAAAACAAAACCAGCCACGTTCTCACAGGGAGCAATTGTATCATCTGAAAAGAATGCATATAAAA